GGGAGGGCGCGGGGGGGACCCGTCCCGGTCCCGGTCCCTGCTCGGGGCGGGAGGCGGCGGCAGCGGGCGGGGTGTGAGGGGAGGGCGGGGGGCGCCGGCCCCGCCGCCGCGGGGGAGACGCGGCTCCCGGCGCTGTGCGCCCGAGCTGCTGCTGCTGCTGGTTACGCCAGCCCCGCCGCCTGCCTCTCCGCTCTCCTCGCCTCTGATTCTGCGCACAGCCAGCCCCAAAGCCTGTCATTCTGCAAAACACAGTTTACTCAACAGAGAGAGCGAGTGGGGGAGCGGGAGAGGTGGAGAGAGGGAGACGGCGCGGAGGAGACCAGTCCCGCACCCCAGCATGGCTTCGGGGGACCTTTACGAGGTACCGGGGGCCAGGGGCGGGCGGGCGGCGGGGGGGAGCCGGCCGGGGCGCCGCCGAGGGCAGCGGGGGCGCGTTCGGAGCCGCTCCGCCGAGCCCTCGTAGTTGCCGAAGAGCGGAGGAAATCGCCGAGGGAAGGGCTGGGGTGGGGGGAAAAGGGCTGGCGTGTGTGCCCGGGGGGGGCAGGGAGGGATGGAGCGACTCCCCTCCCTTCCCGCTGCCTCTCTCTTTCTCTTTCTCTCTCTACTTTCCATCGGGCTTGATCTTAGCAGGCCTTGCAAGAGGGAAGGAGGAAGGAGTGAAGGAGAGCGAGAGTTAGCGGTAGGATGGGGAGGCGATCGCGGTGTGATGAGCCCAGAGAGTGGAGAAAGTCCAGGTAAAGTCATAGGCGCTCTGGACGTGCTGAATGTGCAGATTAGTGCGAAAAAATGCGCCTTAGCGCTGCCGGGAGGCGCAGGGATGGAGGCGGCTCTGCGCCCGCTGTGCAAAGTGCAGAAGCCGGCGCCAGGTTGCTTCACCTCCTGCCCGGGGTGCTGCGGGGGCGGCGGGGGCGGCGGCCGGGCCGGGCCCCGGCTCCCCGCGGGCCGCAAAGTTTGGCGGGGGCCCCGCTCCGGGCGGCCCGGGGTGCGAGGTGGGGCGGCCCCCGGCCCCGCAGCCCGGCGTGCGCTGCCCTCCGGCCGCGGCGCGGCGACGGCGGCGGGGCAGCATCGGGCGACGGCGCCCGGCCGCCGGGTCGGGGACAAGCGGGGGAAAAGGAGCCGGCGGGCGGTGGGCGAGACCCAGTCGGATTTTGACGTCCAGCGCCCAGTTCTAATGCCCCAACTGAGAACGAGTCTAGCCACTCTTGCCACGCCAGAGAAGAAGAAGGGAGAAAGCTGAAATGAAAAATAAGACAGGCTGGACATGGGTGTTTGAAATAACCAGTTCCAGTAAGTGGAACCAGGATGGAAGTGTTAAAAGCCCCAAACGTGACTGGATGTCCTACACTTCTTGGTCTGGAGCACCTCCTCAGGCTCCACGTTTCCTGGTGAAATGGCCGTTTGTATTGAGGTTCTCTGGAGTGCAGAATTTAAGAGCTAGGACAGAAACCACCACCTTCCAGTTGAAATTGTGTGCCAGTGATAGGTACTGCTCAACCATCAGGGTGTGCTTGGGTGTGAACTGCTGCTGTGGTTGGTTGGATATGGTTGGATTTATTCTCCGTTTGATGATCTTGATCTTGTAGGGTCTCAAGCGCAAGAAGTGCAGGATCTGACAGGTTTCACGTAGACAGTTTTCACTTTGTCTTTCAAAGTCTTTAGCAGAGGTCATAGCGAAGGGATGACATTGCTCTATTAGGATGGTGTTTTACTGTGTGTGACACAGACCGCCTCTGAAGTGAATGGCACTTAAACTCTCCTATGTGGTGTTAAATTATCGGAAGTACATGATGATCTGAATAGTGTCATTGACCTTTCCCCCCCCATTTTGCAGTATCTGTCATTTAACTTTGGAATTTTAAGGATTTTGTATATCAGCTGTATTGCTGTTGTGACTCCAGAATAGCTAGTGGGACTTCTGTGAAGAACAACTTTGACCCAAAAAAGTTAGCGATATAGTTTTAGGATTAGTAGTTTCTGGGATGCATAGGAGACCTTTGCCTGGTGTTGTCTGAGTTTTCTTTAGACGTTTGGATTAGTTCTAGAAAGAAACAAAGCTAGTATGTCTTCGGCTAATGGTAGCCATGCTGGTTTAGCTCTGACTCACCGTTAAAAAATTCTGCTGTTTTATGATCCTTGTATTGTAAGACGATGACGACGTTTGGTAGTTGGATGTGGGCAGTGTCCCTGTGTGACATCAAGTGAGGTGGCTTAAGTGAACCTGGTAGGTTCTGTGAGGGAGCAGGCTCACAGCCCAGTTTACAGGCAGTCTTAGGCCCAGTCTCTCTGCAGGCATTTGCATGGATGAATGTGAATTTTTCGTACTGTGGTTCAAAGCCTCTGAATCACTTCCTTTCTTTGTTACTCCATTCAAAATACTTTTGCTTATCATTGTACAATAAGGAAGAATTGTCTTCACCAGAACAGGCAGGTGGAAGAAGTGTGGCTGTTCCTTGTGTGAGGTGTTTGGAAAATTACCTGAACTGGTCATGGTGTAAAAAATTCATCTACATGTGGCAAAAAGTATGTACAGGGCTTCAGTTGTCAATCCATTTGTATTTTGCATTTTGCGTTCTCTATGACAGGGGTCAGAAGAAATGTCTAGAAAGCTGAAGAGTTTGTATGTCTAATAGGCAATTGTGTAGATGGCTTCATTTAAAAGATGACTCCGTTTTGCCTCCCTGCTTTTTCCCCTTCCCAAAAAGCAGCTGCATCCATGGGATTTATTAGAAACAAGCTCTTAGAGCTGGGATGTCCCACACCAGTTTGCATGTGAGATGAGGTGCTTTGTGCCCTCAGAGAAATCCAAGTTCTTGATCAAATAAAACGTTATGTGGATCACAAGATGACTATTAAACAGTTTCAGGATTTTACCTTGAAATAATTTGGGACTGTGGGTGTAAATAAACAAATTGGGTCTTATGGTGGCATTCCAAAGGTATAGTGCACTCCTGATTCCCTTTTCACTCCTTAGTAATATCCAGATCCTTCAAGGATTCTTACTGAACTTCATCAAGTAAGACCAATAATTTACTCTGCAGTTTGGAGAGTTTAATGCTGGCTGAAAAATTATTTTTAAAGCCAATCATGATATAGAAGCCCTGATAAAGCACATGGAAAAAGTACAGTGTGTATATTGCCTATATGAACTCATCATACTTGATGACACCCAAGAAACTTTTATAAATTTTTAAGTTTGGGATATATATGTGCATATTTATCCTGTCAGTTCATTCATTTCCTCCTGTCATGTTATTTTAAAAGGCTTTTCAACCTTTTAAACTTAAAGATAAATTCAATTACTGCCTTTATATTGAAGCAAAATAAGATCACAGACAAAATAACCTCAATGTTTGGTTAGGTAGCTGCCTTTTTCCAGTTAGAATTGGCTTTTAATCATCTGAAATACCTCCTATTACATTTAGGTTAGGACTGTGAAACAGGCACCGATTTATTCTAGAAGGAAAAGAGCACCCATTAAGAGTTCTGTGTTTACTGGTAGTGAGACCTATGTGTTAGAACCAAGACATTTTACAGCTGAAGATAATTATTCCATTATATGATAAAATTTAGGTGTTAGTTTTGATGTTTTTAAGTACATTTTTTTTTCCTTTACCAATAAAGAATGTTGTGTATGTTTTTGTGTAATTCTCGGACTATATGAAATAGTGGTTTGGCTTTGCTTGACTTCCGTGTGCTTATGATTTCAAGCTTTTATGAGTGGGTGAAAGTGTCATGGAATATTCCTTTTTTTTCCTTTGCTTTTCCTCTTAAGAGGTAACCTGTTAAATATTAAAGACCTATGGTGCATGTTTCCTTAGAAATAATAATCTGAAAATAAAGGACTGACAAAAAAGGGTCTTCAGAGTAGCCTTCAGTAAGGCTGCCCTGCTTTGCCTTATGTTTCCCAATACACTGTTGGATGCATTGACAGGAAATACTCGTTCGTTTTGGGAACAGACAGAAAGGGAAATGTATTTACTCTTAAATACCAAGTTTGTTGATTTCTCATTAAATTTGTCAGTAACTTGAAGTAACATTTTTCACTTTCCAAGTACAATTCCATGTACATTATCTGAACCCAGACAGTTATCTCAGAAACTCTGGTATTTTAAGGCTATGAGATGGCTTTAGAAGGGAAAAAAATTCCATATGAACAGTGCTCCTAACTCTTTTTTCCTAGACCAGAGCATCCTTTTTACTGCAATAAAATCCTCCTTTACTGATGAATATGTGAACCAGTTATCAGTATCACAGAGATGCTCTTTAAACACATCTTGATGCTTTTTTTCATCTAATATTTTGGGAGTGTTGTAGGCAATGAACACCATTAGACTTTCAGGGATGATGAAGTTGAAATCTAAAGTGGTATTTTACTGTTGTGTCAGATTGTATTACAGCACCTTTGGTAAGTGATCTGAAGATTACAGCCAGTTCTCTGAAGGGGACTTAACATGTACGTGTTTCTGGATCACAGTAATAAAACCAGTCTTTAGAGCTCAATAGTTATTGCATTAAAGAGAAGAAGTGGCTTTTCTTTAAATGGCATCTTCTCACTGAAATGATGCAATGCCCATGGCCAGGAGCATGTCCACCACAGTGACACATTTCAGTTCAATCTTAGTTTATGCAGCAGTGTAAGAATGAGCTGCAGTTTCCTTCAGTCACACGATCCACCAGAAAGATAACACACTTTCAGATAATTGCAACATTTCCCATTTATACCTGCACTCAGGTACCAGCAAAGTCAAAACTTGAAGATAATAATGGCACTGTTTGGGCTGCTGAATCCCTATGACATGTGGAGACATGCAGATGGGAGAGAACAGGGTTGAATGCAAGGTTTGGCTTGAGATGCAGGGTTTAGAAAATCATCTTTGCTTTACAAGGAAATGCAAGTTTTTGAATGTTGTGCTTTCCATTTTGCATCACCTTCAATGGAGTTACTTTTTAGCAGAGATACATACTTAAACCTTCTTATTGAACTGAAAAGAAGAAATCTATCTTTTAATTGTTTCACATGTGTATTTTCTAAGACAGAGGTGACTTGGAAGAAGATGGTGTATTTTAGTAAAGGTTATTATTTCTCAAATCGACATGTATATTGATACAACTGCTCTGTGGTGAAGGAATAGGACTGACTTCACAAGCAGAAAATAGTGGCTCGAAATAGGATTTGGGGAATATGGAACAGTTAAGCACCTACTCCTTATGTACACTAGCAAGCTGTGGATGCAGTGGTCATTTCAGTAATACTGAGCTGGCACTCACAAGCGCTAAGATTTGGTTGTCTGTAACAACTTTTCATTTTTTTATTTAGTGGAAAGGCTATACTAACAACTATTTTGAAGAATCAGCTATTTA